AAAGGTAATCCATAACTATTTCAATGAAATTTTACTTTTATTTTCTAAGATCAAAACCAAATGCTAAAATACTAACCACCATAAAACAACCCAAACATAATAGAACGATATACATTGTTCCAATCCCAATCATCTAAAACCATGCATCTACTGAAGTTGCAAAGACTTCTATATGCAAACTAGTACAAATCAAGATGATGCAACAACTTAAAGAATTTAATTATTAACCCATTTTCTCCCTTTTCTAGTTAACTGTCAAATTAATTATTAACTGAGGACACACATAAAAAAAAAAAAAAAAAAAACAAAACAAAACCAAAAGATATAAATGAAGATCCTTTTGCTGGAATTAATAAGATAAATAAATAAATAAATAAAAACTAAAAAAGCACCTATACTGCTGAACTTTCCAAAATTGGGCAAGAACCCTCTGTCCTTTAGAAACCCATAAGGACCACCCACAAGTCTCATATCACTAGCATTCAAACAAGTATCCAAGACCTCCCAATCCCTCTCTAACCCCCCAACAAACCCCAGCTCTCCCAGTTGGGGCTGAGGCGACTCAATAGACAAAGAAACATCTTTGAGCTTCTCCTCAACTGGGTCACCATTGTCTTTCTCAATTGATTTCAAGAACCTAAGAGCTCTAGCAGGGCCCTTGCGCTTCACTGCCTCCTCGTACTCTTGAAACTCTCTCAAAGCTCTTCTTGGGTGGAGGAGCTGTTTTGAAGGAAGATGGAGCGAATGGAAGGAAAATTGAAGAGGAAGAGGAAGTGGGGCGTAAGAGAGAGAGCGAGGACAAGTTCTGGGGGCAAGGGATGAAGCGGAGATAGCCGTTACAGAACTATTTTGCTACGAACTTGAAGAAACGCAAGGACACGTGGATCAGACGTTGGTTTTCTTCCTTTTTTTGGATATTTATTTATTTGTTTTATCATACCACGTCAAATTGAAATTGATTTTGCGCCTTTGAGCTTTTGCGTGATTTTGCCGCGTCAATCTAACTGAGGTGGGCCTCAATGAATGCCCAAACCCAATGATACTTAACTAAAAATGATAAAATTGTTAAATATGCTTTTATGCTTTTTAGATTTTGAGATTTTGCGCCCTCGCGGGGTTTCTCTAGCATGAAGCGCCAGACATCTGATCGTTTTATTCGAACCGCTACAAAGTTCTAACGAAGTTTGAAGCTTTTACGAGACAAGTGAGTACGCTGGGGCAGAGCATCTTCCATGCTCGGACAGACAGAAAAAGCAGTGAAGCTTCCTGGAGAATTCTTGATAGAAAGAATCTTAGTCGAAAGACTGCTCTGTGGGGCTGTTTCTGTGCGGTGTACGGTATGTTTGTTTAATGGTAATTAAACGTTGACCAATGACCATATCCATATGCTTTGTCAAACCAAGATAGTTTTGGAGACAATGAATCTCTGTTATAAATATTTCACCATCCAAACGTATTGGAGGAATTAATTTATTCACAGTTTCACACTGTACTAGGTTTATATATTAGTCCTTTGACAATGACAGATATTATATAATTTATGTTAAAAGAAGAAGCAACATTGCCCACGTGACTTGATTCATTGCTTACTATCTGATAAAATATTTCTTTTTTTTTCATCATGTTAGATATATTTCCGACAGTCAAATATCAATCTGATAAACGCGTCGGACCTTGCAGGGCAAGAAAAATCACTATCGTCTGTTCATCATCGATTACGTGTTGAAGCAAAAGAAGATTCTACACATTTATAAACCGACTTAAGCTTCTTCTCTGACATTTCCCATTTTTTCATCTAAATTAATTGACGAGGGCGGTTCGAATCATGATTATTATATATACTGAGATCAACTTATATATTGGAATAATGTTGGAAGAATACAATCTGATCATCTACTAATCAATTCAATTGAAGCCCATGGCGCGAAGGCTTTCTACATCCTTATTACTAAGGAAGCAGAACGCAGTGAGAGGAAATATGAAGCGATTGAGATTGGAGATGGAGGACATAAGTATGGATCAGAAGCGAATTCGGAAAGACCAGAGAGATTTGAGAGAAAAGTTGGAACACATCAATGAGCAATGCGTGCAGCTCAGACAGGAGATGGAAGTGGTCGCCAAGCAGAAAGCTCGGAATCAGCTCCTCTTGAATCTCACATTCAAAATCTTGAAGGCTCGTCAAGCAGGGGACTTCGCCGCAGCCATCTCCTTTACTCGAATCCTCCGGTTTGTGTCTCCCAAACTAATTTCTTTTTCTTAGTACTCATGCATGTTAATTGGTTTTTTTCAATGTTTATTAATTTATTTACTTTTTAATTATTTGCATGCAGTCAGATGATACAAAACAGAGGAGCAAATGAAGGAATTGCATCCGATGATACAAAAGAAGAACGAAATATTAATAAACTTTAAATTGTTCGAGAAATTCTAGGTTTTATGTTGATAGAAGAATAAGAGATTGCTTTATTGATGTATTGCAATTGTTGTATGCAAGTTTGAATTAGTAGGAGAAATTATGTTGTGTTAGACTAGAAAACCAATAAAAGATATTGAATATGTACTTATTGTACGAGGTACTTCACGTTTGCAGCAACTTCGGTTGCCAACTTTCATTGTTTTGGTCGTTGCTTGTATATTTTTACTCGTGATAAAAATATATATATTAATTTTAAATACGAAATGTTGAATAGATTTATAATTGTCTTATATAGATTTTTTCAATTTAAACTATGTTATGAAATAAATTTTATATTTTGTAATTTAAATTGTATTAAACGATAAAATAAATTTATATTATAAAATAAAAATAATTAAATAAAAAAAAATTCTCAATAATAAAATGTTTACCTCTGTGTAATGATTAAAGTTATCAATTTAAAATAATCTAAATTGTATAATATTTTTTTTATTATGACCTATTAAAATATTATGTATCAAGCATTTCCCAAAAAAAAAAAAAAATTACTACCACACATGATTAAAGACGTCCTATGACTCAATTTCAATTCTGTCAACAAGAGTCCGTGCTGATTGGCAATTGCTACCACTTCACATGAACTAAAATCCTCCACGGGCCAATGGAGCATGGATTTTTTTTTGCTCGGATTTGGAATTGGAATGACAGTGGAATAGCAGAAACAAGACCCACAATGATTTCTTGTGGGTCGAAGCGATGCCTACTCAAGGTCAACAACACGATATTGGGCTATGGGCCTAATGGCTTAATGGGCATTATGGACTCTCAATTTTTGGGTGGTATGCAGACACTGCGTACACCACTCTATGGTCGGCTTCCAACTACAACTTCCCTGAGCGCTCAAGCGCCTCAATCTTTGACCGGAAATTGAAGCTCCATTAGAAGGAAATGGAGTGGAGCTACATTGCTTCAAGCCGAAAACGAAGAACAAAAAATGGAGGAAAAATGGGTTGGAGCAATTGTACTGTTGGTTTTGGTAAGTGGGTGGTATTGTTCTTGTTGTTGTGGGTGTTTGGAGGAAAAGAGAATTGCCCTCTTAAACTACAAACATTCAATCTCGCCCCCAAATGGCAATTCTCTAGCACCTTTGAGAGGGCATGGTGATTATTGTAAGTGGGTTGGGTTTGAATGCAACGTCACAACAAAGAGAGTGATCCTGCTCTCTCTTAATTATGCTAGGGATTTGGAATTCGATGGTTGGTATTTGAATTCTTCTTTGTTCTTCCCCTTTGAAGAGTTGAAGAGTCTTTTCTTGTGGGACAATGGGATACAAGGCTTCATGAAAGATGAAGTTGATTCCTACTCTTTCCACTAGAACGCTATTTTTAATTATTCATTTTGTGGGAATATTATGGGTACTATAATTTTCAGCTTTGGAACACAACTAACTTCATTTTTCAATTTCCAGCAGGTTTAGATAGGTTATCAAGCTTAAACCATTTGGAGTTTCTTGATTTGAGTTCCAATGGTTTGTCTTAGAGCAACATTTTCACATCTCGACAAGGGCTTTCATCTCTTAAGTATCTGAATTAATCACTTAATTGAATTACAGGACCAGTCAACAATAGAGGTAATTTTTCATGTCCTTACCCATGTTAAATGCCTTTTTGTGATCTGTATCCATCAGTTAACTTGTGCTCCCAGAATTTAGTTGAAATTGATTTCAAATTTTACAGATGATTTATCAAGGTTGAGTTGTTTGGAGTTTCTTGATTTAAGTTATAACCAATTGGACAATAGCAACCTATCATCTTCGGCAGGTATTTCATCCTTAAAAGTGTTAAATCTAGCAGGCAATAAGATGGAAGGAAGTCTCCATATTCCAGGTAGTCATTTACATAACATGACCAATCAATCTGATATGCTTTAAGAAATGAGATCCAATTTTAACATTATATTTTTTAAGGGACTCAAAGCTGTTCATTAGTTGTAAACATACAAATAATGCTTATTTCTTATAAATCCTGTGGCAGGTGTTAAAAGACCTCTGAGGCTAAGTAATTTGGAAGTGCTTGATTTGCACAGTAATTCTTTCAATAACAGGATTTTATTATCTTTAAGAGGGCTTCCACCTCTCAGGATTCTTGATTAGAGTGACAACAAATTAAAAAGAATACTAAATATTAAAGATAGATCATTTGTTTCACTTGTTTTCTGTTTTCATCAATCGTTTTGATATCCTTCTTATGAAATCCTGTTTCTTTTCCCTTATTGTAATTTAATTAATTTCATTTTGTCTCTGTGATTTCCAGAATTAGTTGCTTTAAACAAGTTGAAGGAGGTGGATTTAAGCCATAATGAAGTGTAAAGTTTTGTGGTTCCTAACTGTACTGCTAGATGTTGAAAGTTTGCTTATGATGAGGCACAATCATTTTGTCCCTTTTATCAACAATATCCTAAAAGAATTAGTAAACTTGATCCATTAGTATCATATGGATACATTTTTTTGATGAAACAATGATTTAAAACTAGTGGAACGTTAAGGCTCTGTTTTCGTTGGCTACTTGGAACAGATGCCTTTTGAAGATCATGAGTTTGTTGAAGATCACATCTCTGCTGCTTTGAAGTTAATCTTATTCTCTCTTTTGCTTGTAGATACGAGAACTTCAAGCACGCTAGAGGTCCTAAAACTAAGAGGGAACAACATCACTTGTGGAAGCTGTCTACTAAAGTCAACCAGCTCATTCCCTTTAATTAAGACCCTTCATCTTATTGGCAATACATGTACATCTATAGAATCAATGACTGCTAAAGGTAAGTAAGGCAGACAAGCCAAAAGGAAAAACAAAAGAATTAAATGCTTACCCTATAATTGAGTCTTTCCATTGTACATCATCTCTCATTATCTAAGCTGCTATTAACTCATTACTTAATTTTCAGATATTCAAACTTTCAAGGAGTTGGAAGTATTACTTTTGGATGCATCTTCTATTCATAATAATTTTCTTCAGAGTGTTAGTTCCCTCAAAGTTTTTTTTTTTGTCCTCCTATGAGCTCAATGGAACTTTGCTGGGTCAAGATAAGATGTATAATTTTCTCGTTAGAATTATGATTTTATGTAACAATTTTTCATTTATTTGTTTCTTATTGTTTCTTGTGTAGGTAATGTCAGTACTTTCTTTCTCATTTCCTTGTTGATTGACATTTATAGGATGGTGTGAACTGCAGAACCTCTGAGAGCTAGATTTAAGTACAAATAATTTTCAAGAATGCTTCCCTCTTCTTTGGGAAACTTGCCCCACCTTTAGGTGTTGGATATATCTTCTAACCATTTCACTGGAAATACTACCACCAGTCCCCTTGCCAATCTGAAATCTCTTGAATATCTTTCATTTTCAAATAGCAATATTCAAGTCCCAAATTCCTTTTTGATTTTTGCTAACCAGTCCAAGCTTATGACTCTTCTTGAGGATAACTACAAATTAATGCCAAAACCTCTCCTTCAATCTCCAACTCTGAAGTTCCAACCAATGTTTTCAAAACCGGACCGGTCATTGAACCGTTTTTAGGTTCGGTTCCCGGTTTGACCGGTTCAACCGGTTGAACCGGTGAATCGGCCGGTCCAAACAATAAAGAAGGTTTGATGAGAGGAGCAAGCTATAGGCATTGATTTTTTTATTTGGTGTTGATAATTTTGTAATTTTGTTAAAGTTAAAGGTTAAAATGGGTATAAG